ACATTGACATTCTACTGAAAACAAAATATTTACATTGCAGGGTTTAAACTTGAGACATAGAACACAGACCATGTCATTGAGATGAAGTGGTCTGGTTGCCTATAATGTCCCTTTAAATCACGGTTTATCCTGCCACATCTCCTATACCTGTGACGTACACAGTTTCCTTACACACGTCGTGTAAAGAGAAAGCTAATGTTTAAACTTCCTTTATTGCACATTCTGTTTATTGTAGAAGTTCTTAATTCCTGCTCTGTTAATATCTTTCTAGAGTCTGCAGGAACCTCAGATTTGAGATTTGACATTTGATTGAAAATAAAACCATGCAGCTGTGTCACAGCCAGGGAAGTTGTGAATAGGGTACATAAACTAAAACTATTTACTTCCTAAATCTATACACCAAAACTGCTTTATTAAGCTAAACTTGTTTTGGTGACTGTAGTGTCCCTTTAACTGCTTAATAGAGTCCTCATGTCGGCATAAAATGTGCTTACAGTGCAGTGAGCATGGCATCTCCTTTTGTGGCCAATTATGAAATATTACAAAGCCGTAATCTTATTGTTTATAAAAGACTGTGTATTTCACAAGAGCTAGGATTTAATGACTGGACCGCAGCCTGTGTTAAGGGAAGAATTTGAACAATCAAACGTCATGCCGAATATTCCTTAAATCTTGTTTCTCTGTGTTGCGTGTAAATTGCTCCCTTGCTCCAGAACAGAAGAGTTGTTATCAGCAGAACGGCTGATCCCTAGAACCAGAGGTTTTTAGTAACTGAACGTGAAACCCCATTTTATGCTGTTGTACTGCTGACAGTGGGTTATTTACATGTGTATTTTGGACCTGACACAGACCAGCTAATACAGAATGAGAGTGCCCTCTGGTGTATGTGGACTATACTGCAGAACTGCCCATCACTATTCTATGTGCTTTCATCTTTTAACACCGAATATTATCAGTTTTATATCTTTCATTGCAATGGTCTTTCTCTACACTAGCCCTCTTTACAATATCCACAGAGTGGAAAATAGATTAATACCGAGTGGGGGGCTATTTCTAATGCCTTTACCAATAGGGATGAATGTACCTACACCCCTACTTTTTAATTATTTAATGTTTTGGATAGAATGGCGTTGGGCGAAAGGATGCTCAACGTGCCCATTAAAGGGAGGTTTGCTTGGATTCATTAACCCCTTAAGGACCAAGCTTCTGGAATAAAAGGGAATCATGACATGTCACACATCATGTGTCCTTAAGGGGTTAAAGGAACACTATAGTCACCTAAATTACTTTAGCTAAATAAAGCAGTTTTAGTGTATAGATCATTCCCCTGCAATTTCACTGCTCAATTCAATGTCATTTAGGAGTTAAATCACTTTGTTTCTGTTTATGCAGCCCTAGCCACACCTCCCCTGGCTATGATTGACAGAGCCTGCATGAAAAAACTGGTTTCACTTTCAAACAGATGTAATTTACCTTAAATAATTGTATCTCAATCTCTAAATTGAACTTTAATCACATACAGGAGGCTCTTGCAGGGTCTAGCAAGCTATTGACATAGCAGGGGATAAGAAAATCTTAATTAAACAGAACTTGCCATAAAGAAAGCCTAAATAGGGCTCTCTTTACAGGAAGTGTTTATGGAAGGCTGTGCAAGTCACATGCAGGGAGGTGTGACTAGGGTTCATAAACAAAGGGATTTAACTCCTAAATGGCGGAGGATTGAGCAGTGAGGCTGCAGGGGCATGTTCTATACACCAAAACTGCTTCATTAAGCTAAAGTTGTTCAGGTGACTATAGTGTCCCTTTAAAGACTAAATGCAGAGCTAGCGTCCATACAAGTCATTGCTGAAGATGGCCTTTCAATCTGCATTCATTACAATGTTGCACTAGATCCATATAACTATATTTACCGAATTGATCTGACTGTTCTGCGGCTTCCTCTCTAGGTGTATGTGTTAAAAAGGCCCCACGTGGACGAGTTCCTTCAGAAGATGGGCGACCTGTTTGAATGTGTCCTCTTTACAGCGAGCTTGGCCAAGGTGAGTGCGGAGCGTACTGATCATTCTTTTATTCAGTGAAACAGAGATTAGGTTGTTTTTTTTTGTTTGTTTTTGTTTTTTGGTGTATAAATTATTTAATTTTCGGTTCTCTCCTGAAACTCTTACTTTTCTCCCTTTTTCTTCCTTGCTTCTTTGTCTACCAGTGTGTCTTTGTGCTTTCTGCTAGTTTGTGGGTAAGTGTTCCCATGGTAACAAACTAACATACGGGCTTTGCTCATAATGTAGCCTCCATGCATTGCTCATGAAGCCGGTATGCAAATATTAAAAGTTACCATGGTTACTAGTGGGCATCACAATATTTAAATACACACTGAAGTCTGGCTCAGTCGCTGTGCCCTGGCAACAGACTTACAGATCACTGTATTGCAAATCTTCCAGCCAGGAATTGCTGCAGCGCTTCGCATTTGGAGAGGATGCTTTTTGTAGTTTTTGTAGTTTTTAGCGTTTACCAGTGCTATATAGCGCATGCCAAAGCAGTAGTGTTGTGAATAAAACCTGCACTAGAAAAAGACATTGAAATATAGCTAGTTTTGTTATTGTTTGCTTATGAATGTGCTTACAGAGATTTATCGCTGTATTATCGAGGTCAACACCCGTTCCTGCTATTTAAAGTGGTTTTGTCAGCTGAAAATGTTTGCGGTTTAGATTGATCAGTCTATTGCTTTAAGAAAAAAAAAACCAGTTTAGTTAGTTTGTAGCTGTTTTAGACCACAGTACCATGTCACACAGAGCAATATAAATGGCCAATCACAAACTGTTTTCCTGCTTATTGGCTCCCTGAATTCTACTTTCCTGAGATGGAGATTGTTAAAATTGTCTGATACGTCAGCAAATACAAATTCAAACACATTTGTGCTGGATTGCCCCAAGAAACCCTTTTTATCCCGAGTGTAGATGGTCTTTAATGCTCTGCGTGATGGTGTAAATGTATTTTCTGATGACACTGTAAACATGGTTTATGTTAAAAAAAAAAAAAAAAATGCCTCCTTCATGTGTTAAATGGAAGGATTATCAGTTACCCAATGTCTGATATAAAAAAAAAATTCTGTATTTTTTTTGTCTCATCCTTCGTTAGCTCAAGACAAAAATGTGTTTAAATTAGTTGCCAGTAGCTAAGGAAAACATTAAACTTCTTATTACAGTTTTAGTTATTTTGTTGCTAAATACAGGGTCTGTGAAAGGTACGGTGTTAAAGGACACTCCGAGCACCAGAACTGTTGGAACCTTTTTTTGTAATTTTATGTAGCTAGGAAACACATACAGTTTGAAATCCTGTTTAAATTTTTTTAAATAAATTATCACAAGTGACCATGTGTTAACCAACAGTAATGTCTACTAAGACGTGTGTGCTTCCTGCGATGTGTTGAATAAAATGCCACTTAACACATTTTGGAGATCGCTATACCATTCTTTTACAGGATAACATTACTGGTGTGGCAATACCGGAGGTCTTTGTAGCACTCCATTTTTAGTAAGTGTTCATCCACTTACGTTATTTTCAGACCCTGGCCGCCTTCACACCAGCGTCATGTTGGGAAGTATTGTTTCCCTAGTGCTACAGCAAAGTGCTTGCATGTCTGGGGGACACGCTGATCACTGTATGCAAGTCTTCATCCTTTCGTGTTGCATTTTTCCCATGCCTGGGTGAGTGCGGCATGGAGCAGTACTGTTTGGCGATCACGCATTTCCTCTAGATTAATCTACAGCGATACGAAGGAGCAGTATTTTATGGTATAAATTGGAATTGCCATTGTAACAGTACAGCCTGTTTTGTGTTTAACATTTTTAAAACTTACCACACAAAATCCATCTGTGAGTTTATGTAATGGTTAAAGGATGTTCTGCTACTGTGGCAATAAAATGGTATAACTCCACTTGAGTCTAGTATTAAACAAAATATGAAATAATGTGACACAATTGAAATAATTACTCTTGCAGCAGGTTGGTTCCGACAGCCTCCATTTAATGCAACCTGAATTGTGATTGGGAGGTCTGGTGCACGAGGCAAGATAGATTGGGGGGGGTGCGGGGGGTGGGGGTTGTAAATACAAAGGTTAGTGTGAACCTTATATAAAAGCCTTCCACCTGTAGCCAACTTTTTTTTTATATATTCCACGTGGATTGGATTCTTGAATATAGTTAATAAGCTACAAACCCTCAATTTTTAATATTTGTAAATCTTGATGAGCATCCTACACCTGTGTCGGTGTGTGCCTTTTTCTTCCCTGCTAACGGAGTGCCGGTCTGTCTTGTT